AAGATGGACGACGTGAATGTTCCTTAAAACTGAAGGATAAGTGCCTCGATTGTCACCTGGTGGCTGGTATAGGTTATAAATCCTGCTTTTCACTGTTTGGTTTTAAATTTTTATAAAGACGAGTTGAGACTTGGATACCACTGCTCCGTCCTTTTGTAACTACAGTACAGACTCTGGCTCCCAATGACATCATCGGTACCAGATATTGTACCTGGAATATTTTGAATTAATTTCTGGAAAAAGGATGTGGAGAAGAGTTGCCAGTCTAAGTTACATTTATCTACATCTTGTTTTTTGATGAAGAGCGAAGAGGAGCCGTGTTGTGTAGTTCAAGACTTCAAAACTTCGCCTCTATCCAAGAGTTTTTCTGAAGGTTTATAAAAAAGCTAAAAGGGATTTGAAAGGATTTCGATAAGCAGATTTGGAAACACATTCAGATTTGATCAAACCGCAACATTCTGCAACCTGTCTTCTCTCAGCGTTCAGGTGGATTTAAATGATAAAATCAAAAAGGGGTTTTAGTTCAACTGTAAGCTCCCTCTTTGACACCCAGCAGCTCTTTGAGGCAAATGTCCGGGTAAGCGGCTCTGGACTTTCTCCAGCCAGCGCTCTAGTAAAAGTCTGGAGAATATCGAGTGAAACCATGTGAGGACACGGCAGCGAGAAAGTGAGAAAAACAAAAAGAAAACAAAATATCTCAGGATGAAAAAGCGGTGCCATGAAGATGTCATCAGGGCTTTTGGTGATAAGGGCCGACGCTGGTGTTGAGGTGCTGTGAACAAAAACACAGCGGAATAAATATATTATGTCTTCATCTCTACACCCCCTCTCTCACACCTGAACGCTCTAGAAATTTCTGTTTTGTTGTGAACGCGTCTGAGCGCCTGTTAAGTTGTTCATGTGTGAAAGGCAAACTCCGGAGAAAGTGCAAACCCAAGCGGGCGAACATTCTCCAGAGTTCGTGTTTGAAAACCAGTCACAGAATCTATTCCATGAGGAGAAGCAATCCCCCTCTCGCTGTTCGCTCCCTGAGAAAAGCGGCCTTATGCCAGACCCTAGCTGTCGGCTGAGCCGCCTGCCTCAACCGCAGTAGACAAAACAAGTGGGAGGCAGGATTTGTTTAGACAGAGCTCACCTGGCGCTCACGCACACAGAGAAACAGTGATCAGGCAAGCCCCAGGGAGGAGTCGAGGCAGCGAGGAGGTGGGGAGGAGCGGGAGCGGTGGTGAGGAAAGAAGCAGGGGAGCTGATGGTTGTGTGAGTGGGGGAAGGGGTCGAGAGGAGAGAGCATGGGGTTCGGCACGCTGTGCCCTTATCTGGGGCTACTCGCAAAATCGGAGCGGATTACGATTTGAGGGGCCTCAAGCAGCGCTCAAGTGATAGGTGGAGGGGTGTGTGTGTAGTGTGGGGGTGGGCAGATAGAGGTAGCCTAATCCAGGACTTGAACATAGGGTAATAGCAGATTTGTGTGTCTGTGTGTTGGCTGCAGTGTCATGCAGCTCGGAGGGTTCGCCAGAGTGAAGCAATCAGCTGATCCATCCCCACTAATTTTATTTCTTATTTGTTCATCGTCAATTAATCTGCTGTTACTTATTCCAGTAACTAATTAATTATTCAGTCTATAACGACTTATTGATGATCAGAATTAGAGCTGAAATAATTACTAGATTCATGAATAAGTCAATCAGGAAGTCCTTCATTCACAAACATGAACCATTCTCTAATTCCAGTTTTGGTAATCGTAAATATTTGCTGGTTTCCTGTGTCTTCTATGAACCATAATATTTATTGGGTTTAAACTATTGATTCAGTGTTTTCAAAATTCAAAATTCACGACCTACAGAAATGCTGTTGACTTTCTTTCTATCTTTCCTGATTGTGGGGACGTGTGTTCACGAGGTTCGACAGCGGGGAACAAAGACTGAGATGGATGATAACCCCCCCCCACCACACACTCACAGTTACTATGGGTTGACCTCAGTTGACCCCTCAGCCCCTCGACAGCCTCACATCCTATTCACTGGGGTTATTTAAGGTTTGGCCCACAGGGTTTTTTTATGACAGAGGGAGAGAATGAACGCTGCTTCACTCACTGTAGCCCTTTGGCAGCGTCGCAGAGTTCGCCTGGCAACAAGTGATAAAAGCTGCATGCGCTTCTAATTCAGGTTCTTCTGCATAAACTGAGGAAATCTTGTTACGTCAACTATGTTTTAACAAAAATGATTTGTTCTCTATCGCCTGATTAGAGCTTCTACTAGAATATGACTGTTTTGTTTTTCATCAAGCTCAATGAATATTCGCAAGGAATATGATGAAACACGCTACCTCACAAGAAATTTTACTTTTAAAGTTATCCCTAAAAATCCTGGGTCTGCCCTTCGACTGGATCCAAGTTTCATGGGTTCTTTCTCATCCTTCGAAAAGAAAAGCAGCACATCCCCAAAACTGAGAAACTGCTACTATATTCAGGCCTTTTGCACATAAAATAACATTTATGATTTATATATATCAGCCCCTCACTTACTAATCAACTTGTTTTTTGTCTCTCATTTGGTCTAAATCTGCTGTGGCACAGAATGGTCCATATTTGAAGTGACAGAGCTCAACACGTGTGGTAATGGATGTTTGGCAGCTGGCTGGGTTTGTTGAGCACATGCAGCCTGTTGAAGAAACAGTTATGTTACATCAGTGAACCTGTGCACGAGCGTAAAGGAGACGAGAAAAGTGACAAAAATCAACAACAAAGTGTCAATAACCTTTGAGATAAAGAGTATTAATTAGCTTCCTGCTACCTCAGTTAGCCTGGGGGCTCCTAAGTGTTGCGGCGCTCACTCCACACCTCTAATTAGCTGTTCAGGCAGCTGTATAATAGAAGATGATAACAGGGGGAGAGACAGAATTAAATTACCCTCCGGCACAGTTTGTTTCCATTTCAGCAGTGAGCTGAAAGCCGCTGATGAAATATGAAACTGCCATTACCCCCCACCACCCCACCCCCCACCATCAACAAATGATGCAAATGCAAAAAGGACACAAATGAACTAAAAATAGCAAGTGAATGAAGTTCAATCTACTTTTACAACTGTAGACGTTCAACAGTTGGCTCCAGCTGGTTAATTCAGCTCAGGCACCGAGGCCTCGCTGTCGTCCGCCATCACATATTCAACCATCAGACTCACAACAGGTCTGACTGACACATGTTGGATCCAAACCCACCACTTCTGTCACCCTGCAGCCTGGCAGCACCTGTCAATCAATCAGGTCCTCTCTGTCTCCAGGGAGACTCCAGCTGGACGAGAATGTGAAGACTGAAGGATTTCTTTGTCCCCTGAGGTTTTCTCGTTTCATTCACAGCGACGCTCGATCTGCATTTCTGTAAAGCTGCTTTCAGACGTGCACTGAACTCCAGCTGGACCTCTGAACATTCTCCTGAGGGGCTGAGAGAGAGCCTCGATACTTTCACCAGACGTTCTCCAGCCGGCCCCCTGGTAAAAAGTCTGCAGGAGCTGATATGAGAACACAGGAGGAGATTCTCCACAGGATTCACTGCGAGCGAGTGGGCGTAATGATGACGTTTCTAAAGACATTCTCCTGAAGTCAGGACTGCAAACTTCTGTGTACACGCTGTCCCTGATGATGAGCTACAGAAAGTTACATCCTTGGGACTCCACATGATGTGTCCCAACAATAAAACTGACATTAGGTCCATATACAGCAAACGAAGAACTCCACAAGAAAGGTATCACTGAGAATTAAAATGGAAAATTTTCAGAGCAAAGAAAAGTCCAATGAAAACTCGTCAGGTAGAAGAATTCCTGGAGAATCCAAAGCTGTAGTTCCAACAAATTATTTTCTGCCTGTGACATAATATTTGCATAATCATGTCTAAGCTGGCATGTTGGTAAATCTGCTCTGAGCGGCGGAAATCTGGAATCAGATGGTCTTTATCCCTTCTTGCTTAATTAACCATTTGATTAACTCGATTGTATTACTTTTGGCACAACCGCCACATGCGAGGACGTTACACGACTGAAACCTTGTTAACGGCCTTCAATGCACCTTCATCTTTAGCAGCTCATTAGGCAGCAACACGGGCCACATGCACACAGGAGGGCACGTTAACACACAGCTGCTCTTTAGCACCTTTTCCCCACAGTGTCGAGGCTGCTCGTTTCCAACCATTAGACCCATTAGAGGCCAATTAACACTGACACAAAGCTCCCTTCCTGTTTTATGGCACAGTAAACAAAACCTGCAGGCTGGCCCTGGGCTCAGTGCAGCTCAGTGGCTCATAATGCAACACGGAATCACTCAGTTTAGTAATATCATTAAATATAAAAGCAGATTCTGTCACACCAGCTTGCACATAAACCTCAAGTAATTGGCAGCCGTGCTTTGATTTACTCCTCCAGCTACTTGTATGTGAAGCACAAGAAACTGTTAAAAAGCTGCACAGGAGATCACTGGGTCTGCACAATAGCTCCCACGGTTGGAGTGACACATTAACCACTTTTATCTCAATGGCATCAGTGGGATATGAGTCGCAGAGCTGCGTTGGGAAACCATTAATCCCCCATTACAGCAGGATTTGGTTGCGTCGTAGTGCTCCAATGTGGGCCATGCGACCTCCACTAAAGTGTGTCAGAGTGGGGCCGGGAGATAAGCGCAGGATACGGGTCTTTTCCGCATGTTTAAGTTGTGTTCTAGTCGGTTTGTGAAACGAACACTTGAGCCCTGCAAGCTGCAGCACGCCACAGGCACGGGCTGTCCCGAGCTGCTGCGACGCAACACTGCAAAAATCACTGCTCACTGGTTGTGTGCGGTGGAGTTTAAAGCGTGCGTAAAAGTGGGATCCAACGCGAATCCGAACTTTTACGCCTTGGATGAAGTTTGAGTAAACGCAGATAGGGGAGGGGGGAGGGGGGGGTAAAGTGGATTTCAGAGCGCGTAAAACAGCTCGTACGCAGCATCTGTCAACACAAACACAAACTAGTGCCAACCTGAGAGGTCCGAGGAGCCCTTGGAGAGGTCGCAGAGCGCGGCCAGACACGTTATTCCCAACAGGAGCGCACTACTGACGGCTGAGAGAGTCCCATCCGAGAAGAACATCCTTGAAGCCTCAAAGTTTGTGGGTTCCTCAGGAGCATTAGAAAAATCCAGCGGCCGCAGCAGCAGCAGCATTGAGTTTCAGTCCGTGCGTCGTCGCATGCGAGAGATGTGCGGTTCCATCGCGTCCCTCATCCTCCCACCGCACTGCTGTGACACCACGAACAGCCCTGTCTCTGCCTCAGCGCATTTCTAACTGCGTGTTGTGTTGTGTGGAGTGGAGGAGGCAGCCCACCTGGAGGACCGACCCCTCCTCCCCCTGCCTCCCTCCTTCCTTCCTTCCTCCCTGCATGGTCTCAAAAACCCACAGTTCCCAGCCTGAGGAGCAGAGTATCTCCATCAGGAGGTTCTGATGCAGCAGGAAGCTTTTCTGTGTCGCCTCTGAAGGAAATGATCGATTCTGTGTGACACGGAATCTTTTCAATTTAAATCAATGATCTCAAT